ATCTCCCATTAGCATGGCAATTTAAGTATAGCAAAGTTTCCTAACCGGGTCATCGGACTGCCGCCGTTTTGTGTCCAGACCATGGTGACTCTTTCTAATCTTATTTTCCACTGAAGCTACTCGAACCTTTTAACGGATATTCTCATTTTGTATCATATCTCTATGTGTAAGCCGCTCATCCACCTGAGGATCCTCATCTCTGCAACACTTAATTTAATTTTATACTTCTCTTTTAATGGCCAACATTATGCACCATCAAACATTGTAGGTCTTACCTCCATCTTATAGAATTTTCCTTTTAGTTTGATGGGGACTTTTGAATCACACAACAAGTCTGATGCATTCCTCCACTTCAACCATTTATTTCACGATCACTGTGAATAATAGACCCAAGATTACTAAAACGTATACTCTTATTAATGACTTGATCGCCCGAAGGCAAAATCCCCTCACTATTAAAACATTTAGACTTGAAATGGAACCTTTAGACTCTAATGACCAACTTTAATTTTGTATTTACTCAAATTAAAACCTTTAGACTCTAAGGTTGACCTCCGTTATTCAAGTTTACCTTCAACTCCCTCTCTAGTCTTATCATTAAGAAGAATATCATCAGCAAAAAGCATACAGCTGGATACAACCTTTTGAAAATGTCTAGTGAGAACATCAATGACTAAAGCAAAAAGTTATGGGCTTAAGGAAAAAAAAATTGCGAGCATATACTTCTGCAGGTTTAGCTTTCAATTTTTTCTTATATCTCTCTCAGTCATGCCACAAAGCTGGGTTTTTTATTTTATAAATCTTGGCGCTATTTTGTTTCTTTTATGGAGTAGTGAGCAATATTATGAAAGTTCTTTTCAGCTACTGAATACTCTATTTTGTTATTTTGTGAAGCATATTTTTCTGCAAAAAAAAATATGGAATACAAATTTTGTTGAGGATCATTAAGTCGTTTATAAGTTCAATTGTCTGTCTCGATTCTAATTTTGAGGTAAGTTGATGCATCTCAGAATCTCTTGCCATGAAAAGGAAAAATGAAATTGCATTGATGGGGTTTAATATTTTTGCTTTTTTTATATGGAAATCCTATCAGTTGCCTCATTTTCACCGTGATATAAAATTAAGAAGACAGAAATATATGGCAATTTCAAAGATTTGTGCCAAAAATATAACTTGTAGTGTGTTGTTATTATTTTTTCTTTGAATAAAAACCGTAGGGCGATGATGACGACGATGGTTTAGAATTTAGCCTGAATATTGCTGTTTCCTATGGTATGGCTTTCTAGATGGCCTGGACTTTCTCTGGCAACCACAACTGACATTACGATGGGAATTCGAGCATAGCGAAGCTTCTCTAATAGTTCTGTCATGGATTCATTGTCATCTTCTGAGCCTTTTTCATTCATTATCATCATCTTCTTCTTCCTTTTTGGATTATGATCCTTTTGTATGAGTTTGTTTTGGAGGAATTAGCGGAAAAGGAATATTGTTTACCTAATTGACGCTTATTCTCCTTACAACCGTAAAAATTCGAGGGCCCTTTCTCTATTCTAATTTTATTGCATGTTGGTGGAATCAGTGTCTCTTGCGGTGAAAAGGGAAATAAATTTATCTAACAGATAGATACATATGATTTTTAGATTGATATACTATCAGTAGCATCATTTTGTCAATGAAATATAATTACAAAAGCAATATCATTTGGCAGTTATGAAAATTGTGCAATACAGATAATGGGTTATAGTGTTGTGATTATTTCTTTTAGAAGTTCAAAAAATTTTGTGGGATTATGATGATGATAATGATTTAGATTTTTGCTGGGTTGTGTTAGTGCTTTTGTGGAGCGTCTCTTTGTTTCCTTTGGTATAGCATATAGATTTAGATTTTTGCTGGGAACGTCTTAGTTATATATTATATGATCGAATATGGCCTAACTTTAAAATTCAGCTCAGAAAGAGAAGACCTAACTTTCAGATACCACTGCTCCATGTCATTTGGAAATGAAACCCGCACATTATTCTTCGTGATTGTTAGCTTTTTTAACGAGGCGATACTTCTCAAGGGCTCCATTAGCAACACCAATGGATCACTTATGCTAAGATCGTTGAGCATGAGATGGCAATTATTAGTCGTCTCCACTTCTCGATATCTTCCGAGAGAGATCAGATTGGGGCAATCTCTAATTGTCTTGTATCTTAGTGCTGCAAGTCTTGTTATTTCATCAGCCAGAGGAAGAGATGTAATGTTTGGGCAGTCACGTAGCACCAGATCAATTAAGCAAGGAAACAAACATCCATCTTCGCCAGCTACTCCTGCTTCAAACCAATCCTTTAATGCTTCTAATCCGCAAATATCTAACACCTCTAGCAATGGAAAGGCACGGTATTTATCATTCCCATTAAACTTACTTTCAAGCCATTTTACTTTCTGCATCCAAGCAAGTTTTAGAGACTTGGGGAAGGGAAGTTGCCTGAAAGGAGGAAGAGTTTCCCATTCCAAGCAATTTTCCAATTCGATTTTCTCTAGGTTGAAGGTCGGATTGACATATTGCAGACCTTGCACCCCAGTAACGCTTTATGCTCATATTCCTTATACAATTTGGTGGATGAAGGTTGTCGAGCACGTTCTCATATAAAGCGATGTTCCATGAATTAGCACTTCTCCAACATAAGGTCAAATCAATGAGCCTCGTCTTTTCACATAATTGGGCATTACGAGTCTCCTCGGCATCCTTCACATATTCAAGGCTGTTGATTTCTAAAATGCAAAGATCATTCATATTCTTCATCACCCCAATTAATCTATAACCACTCATGATGCATGCAAGTTTCAATTTATTTTAGTTTTTTTATTGTAATTTGAATGCTATAGTTTTTTTTTTGATTTTTTTATGTTATCCTATGATGGAAAACATCCAATGATCATGAGTAGGTAGTGCTTGGGCATGGCAAACCTTTGGTGTGCTAGCTACTTGGGCTTGGCTGTTTGGCTGCCCCCTTTTCTCTTATAAATTGGAGATGCATAAAATGTTGTTGAATATTTGAGCAAAGCCTCCTAAAAACCTTAGGTTTCTTCTTTGGAAAAGCTTGAGAGCTTGTTCCATTTCTCTCTTCCTACCCACTATTTCGTCTTGGGCTTCTAACCTCTTCTTCTCTCCACAATTTCCATTACACTTGTATCTTTCTTTGTGAGCTATTGGAAGGTGTTTGTTGGCTGAGTTGGTGACATTTGCCGGAGGAGTTTTGGTGGACGTTGGACCTTGTAGCTGTGGTGGACCTTTGGTTTGCAAGCTCTTAAGCACTTATCTTATTTTACCTATTTTTCGTTGCATGTGAGGAAACTGCTTGTCAGTTGTTCTGAGAATAGTGTTTTTTAATTTTAATTTTGTTTCGTTTGTTTGGCTTTTGTTTGTCTTGGTGTTTGATTGGATGTCACCATTCTAATTTGAATTGAGTTTTGTTCTACTAGTCCTAGTGTTCTCCTCTTTTGTCTCTTTCTTTCTAGTTTGCCTGCATCAACTCACAACCTATTATGGACAAGACTTTAGCTTCCCAATCCAACATATCAATGAACTGCAACTCTTGGGCAATATCATGTAACGCAAGTTTGGAAGGCTATTAATGCCACTTGGTAAAAAATCATCACGTTCCTGTAGTTTAAGGGGTTCTAGCTCCTCAGGGCTATCATATATTGTGTATTGCAAGTGATAGAGATTACTTTGAGATCTTGGCAGCATAATCAAATTAAAACCAATAATTTTTAAGTATCGAAGAGGTATCAAATTTTCAATCTCCTCAAGTATCATTTTCAAGTATGGAGCACATACATATAATAAGCGTAGGCTTCTCGATGCTCTGAATATTTCAGTAAGTGCACTGCAAATATCCTCATAAGAAGCTTTATAGAACAAAAAAAAGAGAATGCAAATGTTTAAACTGCCCAATCTTTTTTATGATGCCTGGATTTGTAGTTTGAACAAACAAGTATCGAAAAGTTTCAGAAATTTCGAGAGAAGTTTTTTCAACATCCACAACTTCAATGCATACATGTGCAAAAAATTTAGATGCCGACTCATGTATTAAATCATGCATCTTATAGTGTTCTCTGACCTTGTCAACTAAAGTTTTTTTTTTTCCAAAAAAGTCAAAATACCTTCTTGCAGTATCTCCTCCATAGTCATTCCTTGAGACGGATGAATGAAACCCAATGCAATCCACATTCGGACGAAGTCGTCTTTATTGAACATATGATCTTGTGGTATAAGTCCTCTGCTATGGGAATGTCTTTGTGGTAGTGGTGATGATGCCCAAATATGCTTTCCTCTACCCGCTTTTAATTGTAATGAAAAGTTCTGATGTGGCCATCAGCTATTATTACTCTTCTTTTGGATGCCTAGCTACTACTTCTGTTACATGTGCTATGTCGTGTTCCCGATTTTCTCCATTTTTATGCCACTCTTAATTATCTGAAAACATTATGGGCAATGTGAAGGAATCGGAGAATGGTGAGGCATATTTTTACATTTAATGGCTGATCATTCATTAATTATTTAAATTATTATTCATTTTATATTTAATTGTTCTACTAATAATTTAATTAATTATTTAAATTATATTTAGTTTGTTTAATTATTAATTATTTTATTAATCACTTAAGAATTTTTCTATCATTAATTATTTAATTATTATTTGTACTATTAATTTATTAGTTTATTTAATTGTTAATATTTTAAATTATATTAAGTTAACCAGTAATAGATTAGAGGTTTCTAGGGTTTGCTTTTCCTCTTCTCATTTTTGTTCATGCTAAAACTTTTGTGTTTAGGATATAAGGCGGTTAAAAGAGTTTATATGCATTGTTAGGATAATTAAAATATTGCAAGAGAAATTTAAATAAAACATAATAAAAATTTATTAATAATAATTAATTATTTAAATATTATTTATTATATTTTATAATAAATATTTTTAAAAAATCATATTTAATTCTTTTAATTATTTTATTAATCATTTATATATTATTTAATTAGTTTCACTTAATTATTAATATTTTAAATTATATTAATAAAATTATCCAACAGTTAGAGGAGTCTAGGTTTTACTTTTTCTTTCTCTATTTCGTTCGGCTTCGTTGTTTCGTATGATGGTAGAGTTTTTCACGAGTTCTTCGTCATTGTTCGACTTTGCTCCTTCGACTACGTTCCCTTCTTGTTAGATCGAAAGTTACGACAGTTTTTTGATCGGAAGCAACAATGGGAGCTTGCTTGTTGTGTAGGTAACTTTTTCCCTTGCCCATGCTTCTTCGGGAATCAAAGGATTTAATCTGGGATTTACCACGAAAAGAGGGAATGTTCCGTCAACCGCGGATTTGTTTTACTGTGAGATTTGGTTTTGCATTTTGGGCTGTTTGGTTGGATTTAGCTCAAATCCACTTCAAATCCGGCTTAAATCCTGCATCCAAACAGCCCCTAAGTGTTGATGCTGTGATGCATTTGCTATTCGAATCTTCCTTGGTTTAGTTGTCATATCTTTAATTTAGAATGGCGAGGTATTAAAAATCACCAGATATCTGCTAGTAAAAGATGCTTCCCCCCTTTTTTTAATTAGGGCTTGAGCTGAGAGGACAGCGTGAAAGCTTTTTCTATGATTGAACACCCCCATTTATGCATGGATATATATCTATATACATATACATACAAACATACATATGTGTATGATATACTTCTTGCAATCAAATTGCCCTTAACTTGAGAAATTATTGGATTGGTGTGGACAATGAGGAGAAATATTTGCATGGTGAGACATTTTTACAATTAATAGCTGATAGTTATAGTTGTCTTTTGTTTTCCTCAGTAATGTAATAATTGAGATTTCTATTGCAAAATTTTTTGTTGTAGGTGCCAACAAGTGACTGATCTTTTGAAAATAAACTTTCGTATACTCATTTTGTAATGGCGAACATTGAGGATGGAATGAAATATCTCAGGCAACTGATGTTTATTAGTTATATTGCTCTCTCTCTCTCTCTCTCCTTCCCTCCTTGAAGCACGGTGCAATAACCATGGTAACTTGCTAAGCCTTTTTTTCATTTTGCATATATATTTGAGAGGTTTGATGGAAAAGTATAGAGAGAGGATTGAGAATCTGCATATTATATTTATTGATTTAGAGTAGGCATATGATAAAGTTACAAAAGAAATGCCCTGGAGAGATTTATATTTGAGAACAGGGATTTATGTTTTTACTGGTAACTACTGTTATTGGATCCTAATGTTTTCGTTGCAATTTCTATGAAGGTATTCTATAAATTCAATTCATATAAGAGGGAAGTAGTTTGTGATAGTTCTCAAGTTCTATATTTAGTGCAGTGTTTGAAGATCCTTAATGCATTTTTTGATAATAACACACACCCTCTCTCTCTCTGCTCTCTCACTCACTCTCTCTCTTCGTGTGTTTCAATCTATCTATATATGTAATGGAAAAAGTGGTCAGTTTCTTGTTTGCAAACTATATTATGCAGAATTTTCTTATTAATTACTTTATAAGTTCAATTGTCTGTCTTGATTCTAATTTTGAGGTATGCTGATGCATCTCACAATCTCTTGACATGAAAAGGAAAAATGAAATTGCATTGATGGTGTTTATTTGTTTTGCTTTTTTATATGAAAATCCTAACAATTGCCTCATTTTCACCATGATATAAAATTAAGAAGGCCTAGATATCTGGCTATTTCAAACATTTGTACCAAATATAACTTGTATGTTGTGATTATTTCTTCTTTAAGTAAAAAGCTGAGAGGTCGAGGATGATGATGATGATGGTTTAGAATTTAGCCTGTATATTGATATGTTTCCTTTGGTATGACTTTTTGGATGGCCTTGAGTTTCTCAGGCAATAACAACTGACATTAAGATAGGAATTCGAGCATAGCAAAACTTCACCAATATATCTCTGTCATGGATTCATTATCATCTTCTGAGCCTTTTTCTTTCAGCATCTTCTTCTGCATCTTCTTATTCTTTTTCTTCCTTTTTGGTATATGATCTTTTTTTTTTAGTTTGTTTTGGAGGAATTAGCGGAAAAGGAATATTGTTTACCTAATTGACGCTTACTCTCTTTACTACCGTGAAAATTCAAGGGGCCTTTCTCCAATCTAATTTTAACGCATGTTGGTGGAATCAGTGTCTCTTGGTGTGAAAAGGGAAATAAATTCATTGAAGAGTGATACATATGATTTTTAGATAGAAATACTATGAGTACCTTCATCTTCTCCATGAAATATAATTACGAAGGCCATATCATTTGGCAGTTATGAAGATTAGTGAAATACTCATAATGGGTAATAGTGCTGTGATTATTTCTTTTAGAAGTTAAAAAAATTGTGGGGAAGATTATGATGATGATAATCATTTAGATTTTAGCTGGGTTTTGTAGTGCTTCTGTGGAGTTTCTCTATGTTTCCTATGGCATTACATGTATGTTTGGTTAAATATGAGCTATTCATAAACAACAAATTTTTATGACAGTTTTATATAACAAGGGATTTGAAGTTCGATTCCCATGAAGGCAAGTAACTCTTTTACAAAGGGAATGTCTTAGTGTTAGTGCTGATGATGCCCAAATATGCTTTCCTCTACACCCTTTGATTGTCTTGATAAGTTATTCAGGTTGGCCTTTTGTGGAAACTGATGTGGCCATCAGCTATTTTTACTCTTCTTTTGGATGCTTAGTCTACCACATCTTTTATCTACCTTCAATCCTTCATTAATGGGAAGATTCAATGGTTTTCAAGTTTCTTTCTCTATGCTACACTCTCTTTATATGTATATGATTCAATTGTTTTAAATTTTTATAACAGTTTTATATACCTTCCTACACAACAACAACAACAACATCAAGCCTTTGCCCACTACGTGGGGTTGGCTACATGATTCCTTTTTCGTCATTATGTCCTGTTAAAAATCAAATTCTCATTTAAATATAATAAAGAAAGGTCATTTCTTATATTTTCGAACCAAATCTTTTTAGGTCTACCTCTACCTATCTTAACATAAGTCAATTATAAATCCGCAACTTTCCTAATCGGGTCATTGGAAGGCATCCGTTTAATGTGACCAAACCATCTAAGGCGACTCTCTCTAATCGTATCTTTCACTGGAGCTATTCCAACCTTTTCACGTCGTATACTATCTCTAAGGGTAAAGCCACTCATCCATCTAAGCTTCCTCATCTTTGTAACACTTAACTTAGTATTATGCTTCTCTTTTAATGGCCAACATTCAGCACCATAAAGCATTGCAGGTCTCACCACCATCTTATATAATTTTCCCTTAATTTTGAGGGGGACTTTTCTATCATATAACAAGCCCGATGCATTCCTCCACTTCAACCTCCAACTTGAATTCTGTTGATAATATCCCCATCTATTTCACCATCACTTGAACAATAACAAATTTTCAAGAGAAGTGCTGAGGAGAGTTTTAGAAAGAAAAGAATTAGTAATGTCTATATTTAATTCATTCAGGATATGTATACAAGAGTTTTAATTTGTGCTTGAACACAAGGTGGTTTGATCAAGTAATTTTCTATTTTAGTTGGATTATATGAAGGATCAATGTTAAGCTCATATCTTTTCTTCTTTAGTCATGGATGTTATTTCTAGACTTCTGGAAGGGGATGTACCTTCGTGTATGTAACACATGCATATTAGAATATGTACTTGAGCGAGGTCCTAATGATGTGGCTTATTTTTAGAATTAATGGCTAGTAGTTATTTTCAAAAGTCAAAACTTGCTAGTTACTGGTATTTTTCTCAATAATGTAATCATCGTGATATCTGTTGGTAGAACTGAGCTGGTGATTGCCAACTAGTGACTGATCTTCTGGAACCCCAGGTTTCCTTATACTCTTTTTGCAATGACGAACATCAAGGATGACTTGAAAATTCTCAAGCAACCGATGTTATGATCATCTCTATTTATGCTTCAGTTTGGAGGGCTTTTAGAAAGCTGGTTGTTTGTTTATTCATGTTGGAATTCAATAGCCATATTGTACTATCTCTTTCTCTTCTGAAGCAAGTTTCAGATATATATATATATATATATATATATATATATATATATATAATTGCTCAGTGTATATCTTACTGGCAATCTAAGTGCAATACCTTTCATTTTGCATTACCTTACAAATTTAAGAGCCTCCGTTTCCATTCTATTTCTTTTGCATGTTGGAGAATTTTCTCACAATCTGTCCATATGAATTGGAAATTTTAATTGCACGGATGGAGGATTATTTTTTTCATTTACAGATGGAAAACCTGGCAGTTGCCTCATCTCCGCCTTGAAATACAATTAAGAAGTCCTAATCAAATGGCATTTTCAAGATTAGCGGTATACCATGAACTTGTTGTTGCTGCGATAATCTCTTGTATGAGTGAAAGTTGTGAGGTCAACGATGGTGATAATTTAGAATTTAGCCATTTACTAATTATTTCTCCATGCATCTAACATCTTTTTAGTTTTCAAAATAATATTAAAAAGTTTAGATAGTCAAGAAACTCCATCTCCTAAGCATTTCTACACCTCTATTGAAATATCATAAGGTCAAACAGCTTTTTTCATACTTCAATTTCTTTAAATCCAATATAACTTTAGTTTTACTAATATGTTGATAAAAACAAAAATCTTTAATTTCATTTAGGATGTTATGGTCACTAAAATCAACCATATTCTCGCTATCTTCATCGAAAAGTTTAGCAAAATATCTTAGTCATCTTTGTTGAATATCTTCTTCTAATAAATCCACTTTTTGATCTTCATCCTTAATGCACGCCACTTGAACTGAATTCTCACTACTCAGTTGATGGAGTTTAATATTTTTGCTTTTTAATATGGAAATCCTATCAGTTGCCTCATTTTCATCATGACATAAAATTAAGAAGGCATAAATATATGGCAGTTTTAAAGATTTGTGCCACAAATATAACTTGTAGTGTGTTGAAATTATTTCTTCTTTGAGTAAAAAGCTTCTCTAATAGTTTTATGTCATGGATTCCTTGTCATTCTCTGAGCCTTTTTCTTTCATTATCTTCTTCTTCTTCTTCTTCTTCTTCTTCTTCTTCCTCCTTTTTGGTTCATGATCCTTTTGTTTGAGTTTGTTTTGGAGGAATTAGCGGAAAAGGAATATTGTTTACCTAATTGACGCTTGCTCTCCTTAATCACCATATAAATTCAAGTGCCCTTTCTCCAATCTATTTTTAATGCATGTTGGTGGAATCAGTGTCTCTTGCTGTGAAAAGGGAAATAAATTCTTTGAAGAGATATATAAATTTGTTTTTTAGATACAAATACTATCAGTAGCTTCATGTTCTCCAAGAAATATATTTACGAAGGCCATATCATTTGGCATTTATGAAGGTTAGTGCAATACTCATAACGAGTAATAGTGTTGTGATTATTTCTTTAAGAAGTTAAAAAAATTGTGGGGAAGATTATGATGATGATAATGATTTAGATTTTAGCTGGGTCGTGTTGTGCTTCTGTTAGTATCTCTATGTTTCCTATGGTATAAAATGTATCGATGATCGAATATGAGCTATTTATTAATAACAATTTTTTATGACAATTTTATATAATAGGGGATTTGAAGTTTTATATAACAAATGAGGATTCTCTCTCTCTCAACTCTTAAGATATACATACATGCTCTTGTGTTGTTTGCTAGTTTTGCATGTACATACAAAATGTTTTTGCTGGTAACAAGGAACTGTTGTTGGATCCTAATATTTTTGTTGCAATTTATATGAAGGTATTCTATAAATTCAATTTATATCAGAGGAAAGTAGTTTGTAATTGTTATCAAGTTCTTTGTTTTATGCAGTATCAGATGATCCCTAATTCATTTTTTGCAAATAATACGCTCTCTCTCTATGTTTCTATATATCTAGATATGTAATGGAAAAAAGTGGTCAGTTTCTTACTTGCAAACTAAATGATGCAGAATCTTCTTATTAATTACTTTATAAGTTCAATTGTTTTTCTCGTTTCTAATTTTTATGTATGCTGATACATCTCACAGTCTATTGTCATGAAAAGGAAAAATGAAATTGCATTGACAGGGTTTAATATTTTTGGTTTTTTTTTTTTTTATGGAAATCCTATCAGTAGCCCATTTTCATCATGCAATAAAGTTAGAAGGCCTAAATATATGAAAGTTGCAAAGATTTGTACCACAAATATAACTTGTAGTGTGTTGTGATTATTTCTTCTTTGAGTAAAAAACTGAGAGGGCTATGATGATGATGATGATGATTTAGAATTTAGCCTGAATATTGGCTATGTTTCCTATGGTATGACTTTCTGGATGGCCTGGAGTTTCTCAGGCAACCACAGTTGACATTACAATGGAAGTCAAGCATTGCGAAGCTTCTCTACATTGAAATACAATTAAAAAGTCCTATTCATATGGTAATTTTCAAGATTAGTGGCAATACACATAACATGCCTTGTGTGTATCTGTTTTATCAGTGAGAAGTTTTGAGGGAAATGATACAACAACAACAACAACATCAAGCCTTTATCCCACTACGTGGGGTCGGCTACATGAATCCTTTTTCTCCATTGTGTCCTATTAAAAGTCAAATTCTCGTTTAAATCTAATAAAGAATTTAGCTATCAACTGCATATGACTGCTATGCGATGTTCCTATATATATATTTTTTATATGGCATGTCTGTATGGCCCGGAGGCTCTCAGGCAACTGCTACGCCCATTAGCATGGCAATTTACCATTAGCATGACAATTAAGTTATAAATCTCCACTTGTCATATGTAAGGATTTATTGGCATGCGAGCCTTCTTATTTTTGCTCTTTTCTTCTTTGTCTTCCTATTCTTGCTCAATAATCTTGAAGCTTAGCTCTTTCAGTTGCTGAGCCGAGCTCCCTAATTATCTCTTCATTAATAAACCCCCCCTCCAACTTCTGTTGCTGTGACTGTTACAAATTATCCATTATCGGTTCTTGCTGCTTAGTTTTGCTACTTTTCTCTGGCCACTGGATGATGAATTAATCATGGAAAGGCTGTGACCGTTACTGCTAACAATTGACAATTTGGCCATAGATAATTCTTCCTCTACTCTAGCAGAGAGGCATCAAGGATGGCATTGATATATCATCAAAAATTTATCTAGATCGTGCACAAATCTCGAGGCAAAATTGAGTTGGAAACTTCCGAAATTAAATGCAGAATCATATGAACTCTAATTTTAGCAAACTTATAGTCAAACTTAACATGTGAAAAAGACAAACCCAACGACACCAAATTCGTTGTAATCCGAGAGCTCATATGGGTCTAAATTGAAGGCCTGAAGTACATTTGGAAGGTTCAAATCATAAATTGGATAACCAAATGGTTTCCAAATGTGACATGCTTATAGTCGAATTGAGTGTCTCGAGAAAACGAATCCAACGAGCCTAAGATCAAAGATATTCAAATGCCTAATAAGTGGTCCACGATCAAGGGGATCAATATCGGTCGTCCATTCAAACCACTCTCAACATACCCATACCCTTGACCTATCTCTTATTTAATGGCCATGCTACTTCCAGAAAACTATATATAGACCCTTCATTTCTCATGGAAGGGGGAAGGGAAGCAAGGAATAGAAGGAAGAGAGAAACTAGAGTTCTCTTGCTACCAGACTCCTCGACCAACGTCGGACCACTGACCGTCATCCAACTAACTACGGAATTTTCCCCTGCCTACTGACTAACGCTTGACTTTTGTCCAGCCACCAACTGACTTTCACCCAGCTTCCAATTTTTGTTGGACTTACACCTGACCACCAATTGATGTTGGACTTCTGCCTGACCACTGACTGGCGCCGGAGTTTTTAAAAGTTGTAAAGGGGTAGTGTAAGAAATTTTGATATCAAAGGAGATCTTTTGCAGCGCAATAATTTCTCTTACATCTTTCTCCTGCTCTTTTATTGGTTGGATACCGTAGAGGCGTGCTGATGATTCCAGCGTATGCTTTTCTCCTCTCTATTTCCCTTAATGGCCTATAATGTCCGAAGCCCTCGTCTTTCTTTCCCAAATCAATTCCCCCTAAATTCAAGAAACCGTCGACTATATAGAATCGAGGAAGTCTCGATGGGATTTCCCTGGAGAAGACAGCGGGCTGTTTCTGTAGTATTGTTTGGCTTAAGTCATGTCCAACTCCGGCTTCCAAACTGCATCTTGAGGCAACTATTTTTGCATTTTAATGGTTGTTTAATGTGACAGATTGGCGTGGAAGCTTGCTTTCAAGTATCCTTGTTAATTTTTGTCTGCCTTAATCGGCATTACATATCAAAGGAGGGCTTTTAAATACTAATGGTGACTTTCTTCTCACAATGCTCTTTATTTTTGGGGGTCTGTAGTATTTTTGAAACTGTCATTTTTGCTGATTGGCTTAAGTCATGTTCAACTCTGGCTTCCAAACTGCGTCTTGAGGTAACTATTTTAGCATTTTAATGGTTGTTTAATGTGACAGATTGGCGTGGAAGCTTGCTTTCTAGTATCCTTGTTAACTTTTGTCTGCCTTAATGTGCATTGCATATCAAAGGAGGGCTTCTAAATACTAATGCTGACTTTATCTTCTCACATTGCTCTTTATTTTTGGGGGAGTGAAGCATTATTCTCAATGCTATTATATGATATTTCCTATTTTTGTGATCTGAAATCTTTTGATGTTCTGCAGCTTATGAGGCAGTGACAGCTGCCATTAATATGTTGATTCATGCTTGGCTATCAGTAGAAAGCTTCTCTACTTGCCTTGATGCATTTTGCTATCATCTGGCCCCCTTTGCCTGTTATTGGTCTCTCGTTCTTGTTTTTTTTTTGGGACATTTAGGCCATTTAAGGCAAACTCACACACACAACGCATACACAGACTCGAACCTTAGACCTCTTAGTTGGAAGCCTTAGCTCTCAACCAATAGACTAAGGAGAGTTGTGTTCTCGTTCTTGTTCTTTACTTCTGAAATTTTTTCAGTCCTTTTGGGTTCTGAATGTTTCATAATGCGCAGGGTTGGTACCGTCTTCTCTCTAAAGTTCTTATAACATTCCCGTTTTGGTTAGTTGCTGATGCATATTTGCATCGGATCAGCACATGAGATTGTGTATATTCAGCTCCTCTCTCCCCTTTCATCCTTGAGCGTCCATTATGTTACAACCCCTTGTCAGCTTTCATTTTATTTATTACAAGCTGTTTCCATTTCAAGTCTTCAATCCACCTTTTACCCGGACCATGCAATGCTTCAGCTGTAGAGAGAGAAAGAGTAATGGGGTAAAATATTGAGGAAGGAATGACTTTCCATTGTGGAAAGAATGATGAAAAGAGATTTTGACACATAGTTGCAGGGGAGGACTTAGCCCGCGCGCATGCTGGGGCGAGCCAAACAGATTGGTCAAAGATCTCCTCTAAAGGATTTGGCCGCTCTACTTAACAGGGGCTTTGCATATCTGCTTGAAGGCAATTAACTCCTTTACCCTGGGAATGTCTTAATGGTAGTGTTGATAATGCCCAATATGCTTTCCTCGACACCCTTTGATTGTATTGATAAGTTATCTAGGATGGCCTTTGGTGGCAATTGATGTGGCCATCAGCTATTTACTCTTCTTTGGATAGGGCTGCAAACAAACCGAATCTAGCCGAGTATGTGAGTGCTCTTGTTTGAGTTCGTTTATTATCAGCTTGTTCAACTTTGGTTCGTGTTTGATTCGAGTTTTATTGTTAGTGTTCATGTTTGATTCGTTTAAATTAATGCATATTAATGTTCGGTTCGTTTAGTGCTTATCGAGCTTTAAACAAACAAGCCTTAACGAGCTATGTTACTAAACATATTTAGCAAATTTTTTTTTTAAATTATCAAACAACCGCATTCATGAACATGTCTAATGAGTATTCTTAAGCTATCAAATGAGCAATTTCATGAATATATATAACTAGTGTTTTCGAGCTATCAAATGAGCACGTTCACGAACAAACGATCTATGATTCATCTTATATATATTTATGAACAATTTGTTCAAGAATCAAGCTTTTATCGAGCTTCTTATCGTGCTTAATGTTGAGCTTGTTCACGAGCTTCAAATGATGTTGTTCGTGAACATAAATGAGCCAAACATATTAGTGTTCAAGCTTGTTTATTTAAGAATCGAGTATTTAAAATATTGTTCAAATTTGTTTGTTTGGTTAATTAAATGACCACAAAAGAGCTTTAATCGAGCCGAGCAACGATATATTGTCGAACGCTTGGTTCGCCTGCAGCCCTACTTTTGGATGCTTGGTCTACCACCTTTTTTACCTTTTATCTTACCTTCATTTTTGGGAAGATCCAACAGCTTTTAAACTCCCTTTCTCTACCCCACACTTTCTCTTTATATATATATATAAAATCAAGCATGAAACTTGATGCATATTTTAACTGGAATTTTCAAAATTAATTTCTGGACTATTATAACTCTGATTTCGGCAAACTTATAGCCAAACTGAACGTGTAAACCAAATGTATCTTATGACACCAAAAGCCTTGCTATCTGAATCTGTAGTGTAATTGAAAATTTCAGGATGTTAATTAGATAATTAAATGATCTTCAAATTTTAGATGATTAGTGTCAGATCGAGCATGTTGATGAGGCAAATCCAACTGACACAAGATTGCTTTATGTCGACAATATAAATGTACTTAAATGCTAAACAAATGTTCTATGAGCAAAGTAATCAATACAAGTTGAATGGAGTTTTCCATATATTTTTCATATTAATGGGATGAGACATTCATAAATATCTGTAACCATTGTGGAGCATGGGAAGGACTATCAAAATGGTGGGCATATTTTTACAATTAATGACTTATTGTTATATTCAAAACTCAAAACTTCCTTACTTGTATTCTGCTTTCCTCCATAATGTAATCGTCAATATTTCTCTTGGAAGAATTGTGCTGGTGATTGCCTCACCAATGAGTGACTGATCTTCTACAACCTAAGATGCTTATCTCATTTTGCAACGGCAAACATCAAGGATGGCCTCAAAATTTTCAGGCAACCAATGCTATTATTTTTCTTATATATGCTCGAGGTGAGTGTACTTCTAGAAAGCTGCTTTTTTGTGTGTTGGAATGAAAGTCATATTGTCCTCTCTCTCTTTCTTTCCTAAAGGACTGTGCAGTAACCATGGTTATTTGAGATGATCTGCATATATATGTGTGTATATTATAAAAAAAATGCTCAGCATATCTTACTGGCAACCCAAGTGACGCTATTTCTTCTTATTCATTACATTGGTAATTCAAGAGCCTCTATATCGATTCTATTTCTTATGCATGTTGGAAAACTGAAATTGGCCTGATAGGGGATAATATTTTTTATTTACAGATGCAGGGCCTGTAAGTAGCCTCTTCCCCACCTTAAAATACAATTAAAAAGGCTTAATCATTCGGCTATCTTCAAGATTAGTGACAATACACAACATGTGTGCTGTGATTATCTGTTTTATGTGTGAAATACTTTGAGCGCAATGATGATGTTTCTATTTTTCTTATTATATGGCTTGTTTGGATGGGCTGGAGCTTCTCAGGCAACCACATCTCCCATTAGCATGGCAATTTAAGTCTAGCATAGTTTCCTAACCGGGTAATCGGACGGCCGACATTTTGTGACCAAACCATGGTGACTCTCTCTAATCTTATCTTCCATTGGAGCTACCCAAACCTTTTCATTGATATGCTCATTTTGTATCATATCTCTAAGAGTAAGCCAATTATCCGCCTGAGGATTCTCATCTCTATAACACTGAACTTAATTTTATACTTCTCTTTTAATGACCAACATTCTGCACCATCAAGCATTGTAGGTCTTACCACCATCTTATAGAATTTCCCCTTAAGTTTGATGGGGACTTTTGAATCACACAACAAACCTGATGCTTTCCTCCACTTCAGCCATCTATTTCACGATCACTATGAATAATAGACCCAAGATTTCTAAAACGTGTACTCTTATTAATGACTTGATCGCCCGAAGTCAAAATCCCCTCATTGGATCTATTACTACTAAAATTATCCTCCATATATTTGGTTTTATATTTACTCAAATTAAAACCTTTAGACTGTAAGGTTGACCTCCATTATTCACGTTTACATTCAACTCCTCTAGTCTTATCAACAAGAAGAATATCATAAGCAAAAAGCATACACCAGGGTACAACGTCTTGCAAATGTCTAGTGAGAACATCCATCACTAAAGCAAAAAGATATGGGCTTGAGGCCAAAAAAAAAACTATTTGTGAGCATATACTTCTGCAAGTTTTGCTTATATCTCTCTCCGTCATGCCACAAAGCTAGGTTTTTTATTTTATAAATCTTGGCGCTATTTTTTTTCTTTTATGAGGTGGTGAGCAATATTATGAAAGTTCTTTTCAGCTACTGAATACTCTATTTTGTTATTCTGTGGAGCATATTTTTCTTCAAAAGAAAATATGGAATACAAATTTTGTTGAAGGTCATTAAGTCGTTTATAAGTTCAGGTTTCTGTCTCGATTCTAATTTTGAGATATGTTGATGCATCTCACAATCTCTTGCCATGAAAAGGAAAAATGAAATTGCATTGATGGGGTTTCATATTTTTGCTTTTTCATATGGAAATCCTATCAGTTGCCTCATTTTCACCTTGATATGAAATTAAGGAGGCATAATTATGTGACAGTTTCAAAGATCTGTGCCACAAATATAACTTGTAGTGTGTTATGATTATTTCTTCTTCGAGTAAAAACCTTATGGCGATGATGATGATGATGGTTAAGAATTTAGCCTGAATATTGCTATGTTTCCTATGTTATGGCTTTCTGGATGGCCTAGAGTTTCTCAGGCAACCATAGCTGACATTACGATGGAAATTCGAGCATAGTGAAGCTTCTCTAATAGTTCTGTCATGGATTCATTGTCATCTTCTGGAAAAATTATTCCGTCAAGTTACCTGACGTAGAGATACATCAGGTAGCCTATAATACGTAGCCACGTGCACTTATTCTTTTCCGCGCGGCCCGACGACCCGACCCGGAGCGGACCTGGGAGTTGGCGTACCTCGGTATTGCTAGGTATTGGTCCATTTTGCTCGACAAAAATGAAAAATACTATTCTATGAAGACCAATACCGAGCAATACCATATGTTTTTTGGATAGAGATACCATCAGTAGCTTCATCATCTTGTTATGAAGATTATTTCAATAATCATAATGGTTAAAATATGTTTGTTTATTAAATCAGTTTCCCTCCCCCTTGCTGTAATGACATAGACATAAGCTTCAATGGGCAACTTGTGCAGATGTGTCACGATTTTAGGTTTTTATGGCTCTAGCTGATCAAAGTGGAAGCTTTTTGTCAACTTTTTTGAAGTCTTAGCAAATCAATCTTGTTCTCATGCAGCTTACCTTGATTTGTTGGATGGCACAGAAGTACCAAAAAAAAAAAAAACTGTCGGTGACTGAATCCCAGCTGTGGTCTGTATTCCTGCTGGCTGGCAATTCTCCAAGCCTTGGAATTCCGGCAGTTGCACTTCAATAAAATATGGTTAAGGCTTACGAAGGTTTCGTTTGGGACGACTTTCTTACTGCTTTAAGAAGCAGCTATCTAGAACAAAAATTGTAGAAGAGAGTGATATAGCATAGTTTATAATTTGATTTTAATGTTTCTCAAAATTAGCTTGAAGTCATGATGGGTAGTTCCACTATTGAATATATGTATTTGTTGAGAGGCTTGATGGAGAAGCATAGATACAGTAAATGGGAGCTGCAAATGACATTTATTCATTTATTTAGAGTAAGCATATGATAAACTTTCACAGTGAAAGATAAGATGAGAGAGAGTTGCCTTAGATGGTTTGGGCACATTAAACTTGGGACTTTTGATGACCAAGTTAGGAAAGTTGAGGTATTAGATTTGACTTATGTTAAGAAAAGTAGAGGTAGACCTAAAAAGACCTGGGCTTCGTTTGGGACGGCTTTTTATTGCTTTCTAAAACGGAGTTTTAGTACAAAATTAAAAAATAAAGCCGTCCCAAACGAAGCCTTGGTTAGAAAATATTGAAAATGATCTTTATTTATTAGATTTAAATGAGAATTTGATTTTTAACCAGACACAATGGTAAAAAAGAATTCATGTAGCTGTCCTCACATAGTGGGACAAAGGCTTGATGTTGTTGTTGTTGTTGTATATGATAATCTTTCAAGATATGCTATGGAGAGTTCTAGAAAAGAAAATAATTTGTGATGCTTGTATTTAAGTCATTATGAGCAACATAATTCTTTTATTTTTCTCCGTTCCATTTGCTCACAGAAGTACAGAACCATACGTCTGATCATTTCATCTTTGCCTATTACTATTCTTTCTTCCCCACCGGTCGCGCCGTCTCTCTCTCTCTCTCTCTCTACACCATTTCTTTCTCTCACTAAACAGTCGTTAACTTGGTATCTTTTTGAAAAATTATTTGAAATTATTTGTGTTTTGAATTTATTTCAAAAATTAATAAATTTTTTAATTGAGACGTAGAAAATGTATGTGAAATTATGCAATTAAATTGCAAAATAATTCATGATATATATAGAAGTTAATTATGCATATTTTATTAGATTTTTATCATTTAAATTAAATTTAAATGAATTTTTAAATATTATAATTATTTTGTGATGAATAAAATATAAAAATTGACATACAATTACTCATCATCAAAATTTTAAGATCAAATCAATAAATGATTACAAAAAATATTTTTTGCAGAATTTAATTACAAAGAAATTTGCTCAATGAGTTTTTGATTGAATGGTTAACGGTACTTTTGTTGTATTTAAGATTAAATTATTATTAGATAAATATTAAAATCATATAAATATTTTTGCAATATAATTGTTGATCATGGGAAAAATTGATTCCTTTGATCATAAATCTTTTATTTAATATTTGATTTTTCTAATGACCTTATAATTGAATGATCATAAGCTCGTTTGGTTCTTCTCATAAAACCACTCGATTTGATTATAAGCTTGCAAGATGTAAAAATCGTTTATTCTTGTAATTAATATTTTGAATATTCCAAATATGTTTTCATTGCTTGATTTAAATTCATTTATATTTAGATCAAATCATCTATAATGTCGATATATTCATATATATCTTGATCATAAGCTTGTTGAATCGAAGTCCATGTCTCATTAATTTAAATTAAAAAATATCAATTCAAATATTATATTAAAATTTGCATTTTAATTTTTTTTTTACAAATACATATCAAATATTAATAATTTAATTATAGTCTAATGAGATCATATGCCTATATATTCATTATAGATGGTAAGAAATTTTAATTCATTAAAATTTTTTAATTATTATTCTTAAAAAGGGATGGAGAGAGAAATTAATGGAGGGGAAAAACTGTATTTATTTAAAAATTGGCACCCTCCTATTTATGAAATATTTAATCATATTGTAGCTTTTACTATGCCACCTAAAGCCTTCACATTTTATATAAATTTTTTTAAATTTTATTATTTTTTGTTCAACGTAATGATCAACTTCATTAATATTCTCTATAAAATAAAAAATATTAATAAATATCTTCATCTTTAATCTTTAAAAAGAAGTCTAAGTTGACTATCATACATAGATATGGAAATTTTCTATTAGTATAAGGAATTTAACACACTACTACATATTAAGCATTCAAAGTAAAATATTTGTAATAATTCATAAATAATCAATTAAATTTTATATTATTAATCTAAAAATTTCAACCAAAAAAAATCCGCAAACCTTGCATATTATCACATTGGCCCAACTTACGCGACTATGACTTTGGGCGAAAAAGTCATTAATAAAATACACAGTTTAGATATCTCAAGTCTATTGTCCAAAGTGATGATGAAATAAATGAAGATATTATTAGTAGAATTCAAGTTGGATGGTTGAAGTTTAGGAATGCATCAGACATGTTGTGTGATAGAACTGTACCTCTCAAATTTAAGGGAAAATTAAATTGTATTAGGATAAACTTCAAAATCATTAGATATGTTTTGAGATTCAGTGCTAATAAAAATAATTTGTATTGCACTAATCTTAATAATGATAAACTCCATTCTAATACAAATTATATCAGGATATTCTGACCTATTTTTTTTCCTCCATAAATTTCTGTCGTTACCTGCAAGCGCCATGAATTATGCAGATTAGTAGCATCTCAGACATTCTTACTCATGATTCAAAATAATAAAGAGGTTCCTATAGAATAATTTGCTGTAAAAACAAATGATTCAAAGCTTAATATTAATATCAGACAAGAATAGATTTGCAATGGCAACTTATGTCTTCTCTACTGAACATGACATGCTTTTATTGCAAATGGTTCACATAAGCAGCCTTATGCTTTCATGTTGTGGAGGCTCTGTGGTCAATGGCGGAATTGTGTACTATTCTTAATATAATAAGGGTTATTTCTAATCTGTTTCCTCTGAATCTTATTTTTTGCTCCAAATCTCTCTTTTTTTTCACTCAATTTGCCCTTATAAAAATCAAAAAAGCCTCTTAGCCTCTTGCAATTTTATCCGATTATGTTGAATTTTTCTAACACTAACAAATAAGTATGTGAAAAACGATTTTGTGCAAAATAAATTATTTTTACACCCTTATATATATTTATATTTTTTTTATAAGTTTATCACTTGTCCCTCCTGAGAACTAAGGCTGATTCCTGTTAGTGAACGTTGTACGTCTCTCATGACGTGGCATTATATTTACTATTTTACCATATATATCTCTATATATTGTCTCATGTATTCTGTTTTACAAATGCAATATACAATTCATTCTTTCCATTCTCTGTCTTCTCCACTTCTCCTTGGGTGTGGTTGTTCTTGACTGCTTCCTTTCATGGTATCAAGAGCCATGGGAGATCAAGAATCAACCAATTCTCTCCCTTCCCCTTCCTCTACCCTATCTGAACCCATCACTGGTCTCTCCATCCCTGCTTCTCTAAAATTCCTCATGGCCAACACAAGAATCTTCTATCGAATCAACTTACCTCCGACAACTATGCAATCTGGCGAATCCAACTCCTTCAACACTTGTCGGCAAATGGCTATGCCGGACATCTCACCGGTGCAACTCCCATGCCCGCCAACGTTAACACTTCAGACTACCGGAAATGGCGTCTCGTTGACAGCAACCTCATCTCCCCACTCTTCTCCACGATCTCCCCCTCAACTCTTCCCTACGTAATCTCTTCATCCACGACGCATGAAGCTTGGACGGTTCTTGAACAACGTCTCCAACCTGTAACCGACAAGTCACTCTCGAGTCATCCAACTTAAGAACGAACTCTATCACATCCAAATGAAAGATTCAACTATGCAACAATATTTTGCCAAAATCAAGACAATTGTTGACAATATAGCTACCACCGGCTCCAAAATTGATCCGAAAGATATCGTTTTACACATTCTTAATGGACTTCCTCCTACCTACAACTCATTCAAGACCGCCATCCGTACATCCCTTCTACAAATTGATCTTGATACTTTTTATTCTCTCATCTGCAGCGAGGAGATAAACATTCAGCAATAAAATCTTATTTTTTGCCCCCAATCGACCTTTTTTCCACCCAATTTTCCCAAAAAAAAAAATCAGAAAGCCTCTTGGCCATCCGCTATTTTCATCTGATTATGTTAAATTTTTCTAACACTAACAAATAAGTCTATGAAAATCAATTATGTGCAAAATAAATTATTTTTGCACCCTTATATATATTTTTATTTTTTTATAAGTTTAACACTTGTCCCTCCTGAGAACTAAGGCTGGTTGCGGCCTGTTTGTGGGTTACTTTGTCATGAAAGAAATTACAAATTGAGATTATTGACTTCATTTAGATGGATTTGAAATTTCTACCCGATGCTCTGTCTGAACCAGATTTGTGCAATTTAATACAATGTAGGGATATGTGATTCATGATATTAAAAAATTTATATCGAAGCAATAGATTTGATCTTACAGGACATGAAAATGAAGCTAAGTACAATGATCTGCAGAAAACTCAGCAAGTTATTGTAGATGGGGCTTACAAACATCAAGTTCAGTACAATAATCATCGGCTGATGCTAGCACAACTTCTATAATGGATAAGCATCCTAAGTAGTTCAAGATATGGGTCCATCTCTATTCTGAATTATCCCTTTTTAAATCAGTACAGAAATTCTTTGAAAACAGTGAGAAAATAGAAGCCAAATAGAACTGTAATTGCAGTTTGAAAAATAAAACAATAAGAAAGTTGTCCTAACAATTAGAGAAGAAATTTGTCCTGAGATTAGACCAGTATCTAAAAGCTGAAAGATGGTGATTGAGACACTAACAATAGAAGTTGGGGAAAAAAATCAAATGCTTTTATTACATAGGGAGAGTTTGCAGACCTTTTGAGATTGGTTTGTGCTAATACAAATCTAACAGCAAATGCAAGGAAATTATAAGTTATTTTGTGGAGATAACAAAATAGTGCAATACGAGGCAAAGTTTATATATGCACCACAGTTTGTACCAACATACGAGGAAAATGCCATCAATTTTAAGGGAAGTGTAAAATTCTATTCAAGAACCTCTAATTCCTTTGGCAACAGCCTCTTATTCCTTCGGAAATTCATGAATTTTTAGTGTTGGTGGAAAAAGCAAGATTATTAGAGAATGATCTATCGGCTACTAAGCAAAAATAATAATATTGAGAAGAGAAAGAGGTATCAAGAGGAGTTACTTTGAGAGTGGTTAGTATTTCAATACCACCTCAGTCAAGGACATACAATGAAGGAATAAGAGGCTGCGGAAAAATAGGTCTAAATGTAAACCCTAAGGACAAGTGCAGAGTTGAAGGCTACCTCAGTCAAGGACATACAATGAAGGATTCACCTGTAGAGGGGGAAGAACTAAGATGATAGGACTAACAAAGGTTCATACAGAAAATCAATTTAAAGGTAAAGACCAACCGGTTAAAAGTGGCGTGCATGACTTAACTCAACAAAAAGCAAAGGAATCTATTTAAGTCAGGACATATATTATTAATAACAGATCATTCTGATATTTGTTTTTTGATATGCTACATCTAATTTATTTATATTTGAAGAGTTTTCTAAGGAATTATGGATGGAGCCTACTCCATTGAAACATGAATTATCTGTAATTTTGCTTATTGAGGTTGATATGGATAAATACATGTGTTGAGGTAGGGTTATGATTGCCAATAATATAAAAGAAATTCAAATTTCCCTCTCTCTCTCTCTCTCTCTCTCTCATTGCCGCCCAAATAAGGGGGGCCCACTAGCTTAGGCGGTGGGGTTTAAAGGAGGAGGTTTAGCCCGCCTCCTGTAGGTCTAAACCGGCCTCACTTGGGCTAGTTTGGGCGGCACCGTAATAATACCCCCTCTTCCCAAAGAGCCACCTTGTCCACCTTGACAAGGTGGAAATTAGGAAATTGATGTTTCACCCTCTCATAGGGTTCCCACATCGAACTGGACATCCTTCATATGCCCATCAGCTTGTTTCTTCATAATTTGTTGGGCTCTCAGTAGATGTCTCTTTAACTCTTCTAACACTGTTCCTCTCCTTCAAGTACTCCTCCACTGAAGAAACTGGAGTACTGCTACTCCAAAGTGCACCAAGTGAGATGGATATCTTCTATAGAACACCTTGAATTGGGTCATCTGAGAAGCACAATGATAAGAAGTGTTGTCACAGTACTCAACCCATGATAGCCACTTGACCCAAAGATTGCGTGTCTCCGATATAAAGCATCTACGGTAGGTCTCTAAGCTCCTATCGACCACTTTTGTTTGGCCATATGTCTGTGGATGATAGGTGGTGCTCCTTTTTAGAATTGTCCCCTGCAATCTAAACAACTCTATCTAAGAATGGCTGAGGAATACCTTATCTCTATATGATATTATCGCCTATGATACTTCATGTAATACAACCACCTCTCGGATGAAATATGAAACTATTGTCACTACTGTGTATGGGTGTCGGAGGGAAATGAAATGGGCATACTTACTCAATCGGTCAACCACCACCAGAATCACCGTGAACCCTTCTAAATGTGGCAGCCCATCTATGAAGTCAATAGATATCTCCTCCCATACTCTACCCAATAAAACCAACAACTGTAGGAGTCCTCCTAATGACATAGCCAAGTATTTGTTCCTCTGACAAACTTCACACCTGACCACCATCTCCTTCACATCTTTATGCATCATGTCCAGTACAGCTTCGAGGCTAGCCTCCTATAGGTCTTCTGCACCCCTGAGTGACCCCCAACTGCACTCCCATAGAACTCCTGTAGTAAGTGTGGAATGTGGACTGATGTTCTGAGCATCACAAATCTCCCCTGATACATAAGTCTCTCCCCCTCTAATTAGTACCCTGGATGGCTACACCCTTCCCTCAGTAAATCTGTCATGATTTTTCCTAGCTCCTCATCCCTAGCACTCTCCTCCTTGATGGCCTCCCGATCTAGCATCAAAGGAATCGATACTGCCATCGTCTGCAGCTCTCCCATACACCTGTACAAAGAATCTGCCGCCTTGTTCTCCACTCATAGCCTATACTGAATTTCAAAACCATATCCCAACAATTTGGACAACCATCTCTGATGCTCCTTGGTCACCATCCGTTGTTCCAACAAATACTTCAAGCTCCTCTGGTCTGTTCAGACAATGAAATGCCTACCTAACAGGTAGAGTTGCCACTTATGAATGGCTAAGACGATAGCTATTAACTCACTCTGATAGATTAATTTCGGCTTGGCTCTAGCTGTCATCACCTTGTTCAAATAGGCAACGAGTCGACAATTCTGCATGAGTATTGCCCTCACTCTATATCCTGAAGCATCTGCTTCCACTATGAATGCCTGAGTGAAGTCTGGTAAAGCTAAGACTGGTACAATAGTCATCGTCTTCTTTAGTCTCTCAAACACTATTATGGCTGCCTCCCACCATAAGAACCCATCTTTCTTCAGCTGCTCTGTAAGTGGTCATGCTATAGTGTCGTACCATTTTACAAATCTCCTGTAATACCCCATCAATCCTAAGAATCTTCTCGACTCCTTCATATTCTTAGGTAAGGGCCACCTCAGCTAAGCCTCAATCTTTGACTGATCCGCCACCACCCC